GCGTCCCTAACCTTCCATTCCTCGTTAATTGTCCACTATTGCAGGCTCTCTCAGCACCCTAGTAGACCTCAACGTATCGCACAATCAGCTAAGGAGGATACCTGTTAGTCTCAGTGTGTGTTCGCTTCTGCTCCAATTGGATCTGAGCCACAACAACCTTACCCAATTGCCTCCGGGCTTGGGCAAACTCAAAGATACAAATATGGTCATCGACATGGATTTGGCGGGCAATTCTGACCTGACACAGCCGCCACCGGAGATAGTGATTCAAGGTGAGAAGTTGGCGGGGGGTTGGCATCATTGTATTCACAAATTCGGAACAAACGTATTGGTATCAGTGAATGGTTGAGATGTGAGAGGAAGTTCGGAACAAACTTATTGGTATCAGTGAATGGTTGGGAGGTGAGAGGGATGGTACTATATCGTATGTTGCAGTGACCTGTATGTCTGTTACTTTGGCTGTGGAAGGTGTGCAGAATGAGCTGCATGTGGCATTCACATGCAGCATACGCACAACATACGTGATGTGCTAGATGGCACCACAAGTAAGCAAAGACGCTTGCGGTTCAGCATTTCCTTCTATCGTACACGTTAATTATGCACACGTAACCATATATAATAGTCTGTCCTATTTATAGTATATATGTCATGTGTACTGAATATATATCATGTGTAGTGTATGTTATCACATGTCAATATCCTACGCCCTCGGTGTATGCGTTCATCTTAAACCCAGGGACATGGTCTATACCTACACTCGCCGGTTAATAGTCTGTTCTATTTATAGTATACTTACACTCGCCTGATAATAGTCTGTTGTGTTTATAGTATACCTACACTCGCCTGGTAATAGTCTGTTCTATTTTTAGTATACCTACACTCGCCTGATAATAGTCTGCTCTATTTATAGTATACCTACACTCGCCTGATAATAGTCTGTTGTATTTATAGTATACCTACACTCGCCTGATAATAGTCTGTTCTATTTATAGTATACCTACACTCGCCTGATAATAGTCTGTTCTATTTTGTAGGAACTCGAGCTGTGCTGGAGTATCTCTCCGAACGAGATGACGACGCAACGGGTGAGGCAGTCACGACCGCAATGAATGATCTCTCAGTCAGCCCATCGGCCAATCGAAATCCAGAGAATTCATCGGAAGGCGGTGCCCACCAATCAGATCATCTCAAACAAATGAAGATCTTCATCAAAGAAGCCAGTGGACTGGACATATCTGTGCGGAAGATTGGTAACTCCAATGCGTGGCGTGTGCTGATGCGTCTTTGCGTGTAAAGCGTGCGAGAGCAAAGGCAGTTGTTGTGCGTATGGATAGTCTTATGTGTGTAGCGTGTATGGATAGTCTTATATGTGTAGCGTGTATGGATAGTCATATGTGTGTAGCGTGTATGGATAGTCTTATATGTGTAGCGTGTAGGGATAGTCTTATATGAGTAGCGTGTATGGATAGTCATGTGTGTAGCGTGTATGGATAGTCTTATGTATGTAGCGTGTATGGATAGTCTTATGTGTGTAGCGAGTATAGATAGTATCTTGTGTGTAGCGTGTATGGATAGTCTTATGTGTCTAGTGTGTATGGATAGTCTTATATGTGTAGCGTGTGTCTGAGCACCGAGTTATGATGGTCCCCATGTGACTATGGTCTGTGTGTAGTCGTATTGGGGAGTATGGTTTGTCACAGACGTGATCGCAATGGGGAACTAAACGTGTGCAATGCTTTTGATTTGTATTAGTAACTGTCACTCGCACTTCACGTGGAGTTTATCGTTGAGATACACACGCAGCACACCAGGTATAGATTCATCACAACTACCGACATTTGCGAAGGACCTATGCCACGGATGTGCAACATATTTGAATGCACATACATACACAAGGGGTTA